CACATAGCTATTCATAACTTATAGCATATATAAATATAAACTTGAAATGGATCATAAACCTAAATATAAAACCTAAACCTGTAAAATATACAGACAAAAATATAGGCAAAAGTCTTTGTGACCTTAGATTAAGCAAAGATTTCTTAGATGTAACACCAAAAATAAAAATCAGTTAAGTTGATCTTCATTAAACTTAAGAACTTTTGCTCTTCAAAAGACACTGTGAAGAGAATGAAAATATAAGCCACAGACTGGGAGAAAATATTTGCAATTCACATACCTGATAAAAGGACTTGCATTTAGATATAAAAAAAAAAACCTCTCAAAACACAACTATAAACAAAAATGAAAGGAATGAGTTGAATGAAAATAGCCTTTTTGAACATCCATCAAAAAACAAAAACAAAGAATTGTTTTTTAAAAGTTGTTTTAAAAAATATTTGAACAGACATGTCATCAAAGAAGATATGCGATGATAAATAAGTAGGTAAAAAAAAAATGCCCAACATCATTACTTGTTAGGGAAATGGGAATGAAAACCAAAATTGATGCTATTATATTACATACATATTAGAATGTCTAACATTAAAGGGATTAACCATACCAAGTGTTGGTGAGGATATGGAACAACTGAGACTCTCTTACATTGCTGGTGGAAATGTAAAATGACACAAACACTGTATAAAAGCATGTGTCCATGCAAAGACTTGTACACAAATGTTAATAGCAGATAATAACCAAAAGCATTTGCAAGCAACCCAAATTCACCTTCAACAGATAAATAGATAAATTGTCATAGATTCAAACAATCGAATACTATTTACTTATATGAACAACATGAATAAATCTTTTTCTTTTTTTGAGACAGAGTCTCATTCTGTCACACAGGCTATATAGTGCAGTGGTGCGATCTCGGCTCACTGTAACCTCTGCCTCCCAGGTTTTAATGATTCTTCTGCCTTAGTCTCCCAAGTTGCTGGGATGACGGATGTGTGCCACAATGCTCAGCTAATTTTTTTTTGTATTTTTTTTGTAGAGATGGGGTTTCACCATGTTGCTCAGGCTGGTCTCGAACTCTTGAACTCAAGAGATTCACTTGCCTTGGCCTCCCAAAGTGCTGGGATTACAGGTGTGAGCCACCATGCCCAGCAGAGCAACATGAATAAATATGACAATAATTACTCTGAATGAAAGAAGCCACACTAAAAAGAGAACGTACTGTATGATTTTATTCAAATAAAGTTCCAGAAAATGTAAACTAATCTATAGTGATAGAAAGCAGATTAGTGGTTGTCTGGGTATGGGTGAGGCAGGAGTAAGAAGACAGGATTACAGTGGTGCAGGAAGAATCTTTTGGAAGCAAAGATTATGTTCATTATCTTGATTTGGGGCAACT